TTTTTTTATTACTTTTATTATATTTTTTTTTTTATTTTAAATATATTTTTATTTTTTTTTTTATGAATTATATATACTTCTTGTTAATCATCTTTTTTTTCTTCTTTAATTTCTTTTTCCTTTTTTTTTTATAATGTCTTTTTTTTTTTAATTTATTTTGTATAACTCTTGTTAATTTTTTTTCTTCTATTTTACATTTATTTTTATTTTTTTTTATTTTAAATATATTTTTTTCTTTTATGAATTATATTATATATTTCTCGTTAATCATTTTTATTCTTTTTTTATTTTTCTTTTGATTTTTCTTTTACAACTTTTGATTACGACTCGATAACAAGACATGTGTGTTATTATAATCCAATAAAATAGACAGAGAGACAAAGAGAGAAGAAGATAATTAAATGAAAAAACAAAAAGAAACATATATATATATATATATTTATAATATTACCTTCACATTAAAACCGAGGTGAACGGCTTAATGGCACTAAACGAAGCGTCACTTGGATTCACCTACAATTTGATCTTGGCACGATAAACGATGCCACGTGCAGATTGTCGTTCGATAGATTATCTTATTTGTCTTTTTTTCTTTATTTTGTTTATTCTTTTTTTTCTTTCTCAAACATGTGATTTCTCAAACACTCGCAAATGATTATCCCTCTTTTTTCGTTTCAACAATTTCGTATCGTTACAATCCTTTCAATCACGTTTTCTCGTATAAGATAAAATTAAAAAAAAAAAAAAAAAAAAAGAAAAAAATAACATGCGCAAGAAAAATCTTTGTCCTTGATATTATCCTTTGAAATTATCAATCGAAAAATCATTCAGAAGAATAATTCATATGAGCAATCATTCGTACACTGAACGATATGTTTTTCTTTTCTTCAAAAAAAAAAAAAATAAATAAACAAAAGAAGATAAATTTTTATTTTTGATTTTGATTTCCTTTCTTCCTTCGTGATCATCAATTTTAATAATTATTATTATTAATAATAATATTATTATCAAATGCACTTGTATATTTCGATCGTTGATAACCAACACTGAACGGTTGCCTTGTTAAACTAACATTAACTATTTGTATTAATTAATTAATAATTAAAATATCGTCCTATTGATTGGTTGTTGAACCATGCAACAATACGGTGTATGCATCCGTCAAATAAATCGAAATATTATTATTATTATTATTATTATTATTATTATTATTATTATTGTTTTATAATAAACAAATGTGTTTTATTATAAACTCCAAGGAACTCGAGACGAGAAATCGGATGACGATCGATACGAACCGAACGCGGTATCGGATCTGTCAATTTATACATCGAACAACGACGAATAAACCTAAACCGATCTCCGCGCACGCGACACACACGCTCGACTGCGCAACTGTGTTCCTTTTGCCTCGGTTATTATGATGACGACTATAACTAGTAGACGACGATGACTATGACGACCGATTAACTCAAACGCGTGCCAACTAAATGTACCAACAGATATCCTAATCATTATAATATTCTATTATAATCTAACCTCTTTTACAATACACATTTGTACTAAATTATTTAAACATTTTTTTTTCTTTTATATTTTATTATTCGAAATGAACAGTAATAATAATAATTATGATAATAATTACAGTACCATTTATCTGTTTTTTTTTTTTTTAGGTTATTTTCTAAGTGAAATGTCTCTCGTGGAGAGAGAGAGAGAGAGAGAGAGAGAGAGAGAGAGAGGAG